GGGCTCTGCCAGGCTCCATACACAGCCACAAGCTTGAGTCAGGTTTCCCACATTCTCCTCTTGCTCTTCCCCAGGGACCTATGTAGTGGGCAAGTTTCCACGGGTACCTGTGTCAGTTCACCGATTGAAATGAGATAGGCATCTGTCCTCATCCACCAAATAAAACCGAGGCTATGATAAGTAAAGACATCTCACTTTCAGGGTGAGAGCTGGTCATGCATATTTCACTAAAGCAACAGAGTCAGATATGGTGAGAAGCACTTAAATGAAAGAATCTCCACCAGCATGTCTCCTTGTTGGATGTAGACAGTGGAGAGACTGTGGGGAACTGCTGTTTTGGGCACAGTGAAAAACAGTATTTGTTTTATGAAATGGAGATGAAAGAAAGAGGTGGCTAGTTATCATCAGTGGGGGTCTGAAATCAAGAGTAAAAAGGCATACTGAAAAATGCTGCACAAAAGCACACCACAGTGCTTCCTTGTCGTTCACAGCTATACCTCACTAGTTCTGTAGTGAACTTTCCCTTCACCTTTGTTAAAGGCAAAACACTACCTCCCAGATTTCTGAATAATTCAAAGAAATTCTTCCCAGTACTTCAGTGATGCAGGCACTTTTCTGCAGCACCCCAGACAGAACCTTCAGCTTCTTGTCAAGTACATAAACTGTGAAAGTTACACAGTTCTTCAGTATAAAAAAATTTTCTAATCTTAGCCACCAACCGATTAAGAACAGAAAAACAACTAAAAAGCTACTTTCAAAAGGGAGCACTCTGACAATTCCAAGACAGAGAAACCCTCTGAAACAGGAAATCTACTGTCGCAAAGAGGGTGCTGCACAGCTTTGCTTGCTCTCCATTAACTGGCCAGTGGAGCAATGAAGTGACATAGGCTTCCAAAGTAAAGTTTGCTTTGGTCCCTAATCAGGCTTTACTCCACCTGAACTCCTGCTGACTTCAATGAGAGGCTAGACAGCGTGAAAAGTGAATGTGTCTTGAAGATTCAGCCCTTTATGAACCAAAATTTAGTTGCAAACTTATACAAAGACACAAAAATCTCTGCAGCTGAACTCAATGCCACTTTTGAACACAATTCTGTAGAAAAACTGTTTGTTTTCTTTGTGTAAATCTTGCATGTTAACATGATTAAATCTGCTGGGCAGGTGTCTCCACAGGTCCATGTTTGTTTTGGCACATGAGCTGCCCCTCTCACCTCTCCAAATTCATGTAAATTTAGTGTTAAATCCTGCCTTTTGTTATGTGAGAGTGCGAGGGAGCCCCTCTCCCTTCCCGAACCAAGGCTTGCTCACATCGCAGCTGGGCTGGAGTACAGCCCAGCACTGCTGGATGCCAGGCTGGGGAGGGCAAGTGCAGGTACTCATCTTCCACATGCAGGCAGGCGAGCATGACATGGGATCCATCACCAGCCCCTTACTTCACATTCTCTCCTCTGCTTCTCAAGCTATTTATGGAGTTGCTAGTTTTCCAAATACTTTTTTCCCCTGCTACCGGAACCATATGATTTTGTGATCATCCCAGCTTCCACGAAAAGTAAATTTTTAGCTCTCCAGATGAGATATATGGAGAGATGAGAACATGACCCTTTACAGCTCAAAACAATACACGATATAATTTCCAAGCATCACTCTAATATTATTTGCAAAGTTTCTGGGACGCAGCTGTGGTGCTCAGACTGCTGACATACTTCCTTGTGCAGAGATACTCCTTGATCTACCACTTGCCTTGCCTTGCTGTTTGCTCCCTGCCATTGGTAAGGCAAAAATTTGCACCTGCTTTTTTAGATCGATACAAACAAATTCTATTTTAGAAACTGTTCAAAGGGGCTAAGATTCAGAAGGACGTAATAAGCACTAGTGAAGACATTTTTTATTAACCCAGAAAAATGAATCTAGCAAGAAGAGTTGGCTGGGTGAAGACCCTCTAAGACAGGATACGTGTATTTATGTATGAAGTGGCACACGCAGATCTCCTGACACTCCTTCCCCAAGTGCAGTGAGGACCCAGGTGCTATCCCGCTCACATTTTACAGAAATTCAGCTGAGCCACAGCAAACTGTTGGCATGCTGTTGTGCAAGCCTAGATGGAGTCACTACTTCCTCGGCTCTGTGAATCGCTTTTTGTTTAGCAGATTAATCCTAAACATTCAGATCTTGCACCTCATTTTTTGTCTAATGTCTAGGCAATGATAAAAGCAATTAGCTCCCTAAACTCTTCTCTTATCTGTAATTGGGTGTGATATTTTTGTTTGTTTGTAAAAAACACTGAACAAAAATAGTATTCACTATGTGGCCCGGGAAAATAGACCCTGATGACAGCCAGTTTATCTTCCACAGCTGCCTGAACAAACCAACACCTAGTGGATGTTATCAGGAACAATTCCAACCAAGAGCTAACACTGTTACTTGGAGGTGACAGACCGACCTGTGCAGTTTTAATGCAGCTCTCCAATTCCCATTAGAAATGCGAAGAGTCCGGTTACTTCCCTTCCTGCAGTGTCACATTGCCAGAAAGATCCCAAGGGCAATGGAGCTGCAGGCAAGAGGGGAGAGCAGCGCACACGCCTCAGCACTCATTTTCATTGGCTTCAAGGAAATATTTTAAAAAATAAAGAACATGAACCAGAGAGGCTGTAACTACAGAAAGTTCCCATTTTACTTCTTTCCCACCCTCAGCCTTACCTTTGGACAAGCACAAGATTTCTAGCAGGTGTGAAAGAGCCAGGAGACAAACAAAAGAGATAAAAGACAGAACAACTCTGAAGAGCACTCAGGAGGCCACATCACAAGCACAGCACACCAGCTCCTAGCAGGCAGAGGCACTCTACCATTATCTAGTTCACAGATGGACCACCCAGAAAATCTGGGAGCAATTAGGAAGGAGAACAAACAAATTCATGGAAAGAAAGGGGGAGGGAGAATGGGAAGGAGGGTCAGAAGGGATTCCTTACATCATCTCCATGCAAGCGTTTCGAGAATGAAGTGAAGCTATATGGAGGAGGAATGCAGATGAAAGAGTTTGCAGTGAGAATGCAATAAAGTAAAAGGCTATGAAAACATGTAGCATATAAATGAAATACAACATGGCCATTACATTTACAGAAAGTCAGGACAGTGTGTAAACAGAAAAGAAACCCATCAAGTTTGTGGAGACACATACACACACATATAAACAGATCAAATGCTAACAGTCTCTCTCACTGTTAACAAACAGTATGTCAAACCCACCTTGCAACCCAGTGATTAATCAGGCAAAAACCGGACCTTCTCTCCTCTCTGGCTGTCAGTAACTGGCACTAAATACTGTCAGGAACACACAGATACTACAAACTGAAACCAGTGCAACTTTACATCCTATCCATGGATAGGAAGCACAGCAACAGCTAAGGGGCTCATACTACTGGAGCTGCATGCCTGGAACAGCCAACTTTCTGCAGACCCGGTTTTCACTTGCCTGGCATCTAATCAGTCAGCACCTCAAAACACAAAGTTACACTTTTCTTGCCTGGAAGGCTGACCTGATTTTGGTACCAAGCCCTTAGACTCCAACTGACTTCAAGGTGACTGCTCAGTCCTCTAAAATTAAGGCCCAATTTTAATTAATGCCTGATTTCAGGCATCTTTGTTGATTTTAATTGTGGCATAGAAGGTTGCTTTTGTTGACCAGTGCTGCAAAGTTTTCTTTTTAAATGATTTGATGTGCAGTTCATGACTTCTGCAAGTGAGCACAATTTATGCACCGTGTTTTATAGGAACCAAAAGCCACAGCAGAAAAATGACTCAAAATAAAAACTGAACATACCAAGTGTTTTGAAGTGTTCTTAATCAATAACACTGTGTTTACTTTGTCTTGGCCTCTGAAAAGCAAACTCTGGTCACTAAGGACATCTTATAAACCCACTGAAGTTCACACAAGCATTTTTCAAAGTTTTTCAGTTTATTATAATCTTGGTAAACTCACTCCCTGATAATTTTCTCTAAAAATAGTGCTTATTAACTCACAAGCTCAGTTGAAAAAAATCTACTATCCCCTCATCTTAGCACCAGCTACAATATGGCAATTAGTTTACCTTAGAATAGACATCAAAGGCTCAAAGGATGACCCTGCCCCAGAAGAACAAAATCTTTTAAAAGCCCCATTCCACTCAGTTTGCTAGTTTATAAGGTTTGCTAAAATCCAGTTTAATGATCATGTAGTTTCTTAGCAAGTCATGTGGTGCCATATTGTGTAAGGAACAGAAGCGTTAGTTTGAAAACCTTTTTGAACTTGGGAAGCTTTTCCGACCAGCTGATGCAGAACCACATTCTGAGATGGTAAATGAAACTGTTGGATGCAAAAGCCTCACTAAGATTTTCTTTAGCTTCTTTCAGAAGAGACAAAAATTCCCACACAACACATACTCTCCTCTTACAATGAAAGATTCAATAATAGCAATATGTTCAAGTCCATATGGTGTGGATATAAGGGAGAGGCACAACGAGAAACTGAGAGCCCTGAAAAGCAGGGCCTGTAAATGGCAGTAGAAAAAAGCAAAAGCATTACAAAAAAAACCCCATAAGGTGAGACTGAATGAAGTTGTAGGACACATCAGATTAGTTATCCTTTTAGCTACAGTCTTCACATCCTGAGTCACAGACAGTTCCCTCCCCTGACATGGTTATCAGATTGATTTTTTTTGATGACATACAGCAAAGTCTTTCAAAACCAGTCTGGCCCAGTGGCCAGATAACAGCACTACATGTTGCCAGGCAGGAGACCGAGCTGCAGTTTCCAATACAGCTTCACAGCAGTAATGCAGGAGAAATGAAACTGGAAAGGCTGATTTCAGTGGGGGCAACAATGATTCATGAAAAGGAACAACAACAAATGAATAATACAGGAAAAATGTCTACCCTGTCTGGAATCAGATTTGAATGGTGAATGAGAAAGAGGAAGGGGAGGGAACAAGAAGGGTCTGTTTATAAACATCAGATAAGAAATACCTCACCTCTTTCCATTACTATCACGAAGCATGGCTTTTCCCAGCTCTCTTGTCTTCATCTCCAACTCCTGAACTTGCTCCAGTAAAGTTTTATGGTAGGTATGCTTGGCCCTGTACCACAAGAAAAAGACAAAAAGAAAAACAAACCAAAAGAGCCACGTGAACATTAATTTTGCTACAAAACCCCGATTTTACTCTCAGATAAGAGGCACAAGGTCTTTCCTTGAAGGATTTTGGAAATAAGGGACAGTGTACGCACGTCAGTTTGGGTTCACAATACCTGGGAAATATTACATTAAAAATGAGAAATTAGGCCTTCAAATCCAGCAGAGCTCATCTGCTTTAACACAACAGTCAAAATCTAACCAAGCTGCAAAGCTATGGGACTATGGAGACCTGACACCACTACCACGGGACTGCTCAGGACCTGGGCATTCAGACAAAAGATTTGGGATTCATTGCATATTCATGTCTGTAAAACATGCTTTTACTCTGTCTTTTGAGCTATGTGTGGCACTGCTCTGAAAATCTGAGGAGAGTCTCAGATAATAAATGTCATTGAAGCCCCTTCAGTTTCATTTATCAGTCTCACATGACTTGGAAAGGCACTTTTCTCCCCACTGAGCTTTCAAAGTGACAGTAACAAGACTGGCTATGTCCTATTTTCTTGGCTTGGGGATTCAAAGAGCAATCCATGTACCACACATGCAACCAAAATTTGGAGAGCAATGTTCCCCATGAAGAGACTTGGGCTTTTTTTCCCCCCCAGTTTTACCTACTGCGCCAGTGCTGTGATACCTAAATTATACTGATGTGAGATAATCTAGTCTCCTCTGTCTTGACATGTACAAAACAGTAATACAAAATGCAGGGATCACTCTTCAACTGGCAGTTTTTGATAGGTTTCCTCTTTTGTGTGTCACTTAAAGAAGGACAAGTATCCCGTGAGATAATATTGATTTGCATGTGACTGCACCATAAGCCTGAAAACAAGATGGAGCCAATTTGGCTGAGGCACCACTTTGTTCATGGCTTTAAAATAATATTCTTCAACTCCAGACATGGCAAAAATTTCTTTACAAGTTGTATAAAAATCTTACATGCACATACTATAATCTTTAACTAATGATGTAAGCCAATGCCAAACTCTAACAGAAGAATAGTAACTGGTGTATATGTAATTAAATATAATGAAGATGCATTACCTTTTAAAAAGCATGATTGTTATTACTCCTTCCACAGGGAATAACAAACAAAGACCACAAAAATCTTTGCTGATACTATTTTAGATGACAGTGCCTTAATACTAGGCTACCCAAGTCCTCTGGTCTTTGTGTTGCTGAATTAGGCCCCAAATGTCTCAAAATGAGAAGCTAAAATGAAAACTACTTTTCAAAAACACATCTGCATTTAAGAGGGAAAAAAGAGAACAACAAAAGATGAAGCATAGGAAAATCTGGAAGTAAAGAGTATTAGAACATACTTAGAAGAGCATCCTATTAAAATAAACTACAAAAGGTGAATGATTTGCAAAGGAACACATGTACTGTGACAGAAGAAATCAATGGCAAGGATATTTTTAAAATGCATAATGTTTCAAGAATGTGAGACTACTAATAGCTGCACAGAAATTAATTATATTTAGGTTCCCATAACTAGTTAGTCTAATTATTAGACTGGTCTCCTCTTTGAGGAAGGGAAACTATAGTGATTAAAGTAAGAAAGCTTTGAGCTATTAACTCTTATAATCTTTACAGTTGAATTCACTATCACACTTTGAGTAAATACATTTAAATTTTGACCTTGAACTCAACTCTTACCTTTTAAAGAGGCTATACCTACTATTGCACACTTGAAGACTGAGCATGTTTGGAAGTTTTAAAATCCTTTATAACCATTTTTCCCACAGACAAGAACACAAAAATTGCCAAGTTATTCAATCTCTCCCAAGGTTCCTTGTCTATCTTGCCATACACCAGAAGAGATAAGAGACATTTTTCTTTTCCCTTAGAGTGAATATTGAATTCAAAATTTAACAGAATGGAGCACGAGCAACAGAGTCCAATTAGTACAGCACAGCATAAGGAGGCATTGCACTAATATTACACAATATGGAAAAAATACTGTTGTCCTGAAGTTGGGGGTACTGAAGTAATTTATAAGTAGTATGAAATGATGAAATATATGGTCTCTGATGTGGCTGGGTATCCATAAAATAACAATAAACCTGCAGGTAATTGTTATGCATTGAGTTACTCCTTCACTTGGAAGCAAGAGCATCCATGGAAGAGTCAGTAATTAAGCATTTACAGAAAGGGCATGAGCTAACCTATTCACATATTTCTCTAAAAATAAATACTGAAAAATACGCTATTACAATTGCCTCAGCGTCTGGACTTGCTCCCATCAAAGTCAACTGCAAATATTCCATGGACTGCTAGCAACAGGACTAGGATACTTCATGACTTTTCCACCACACACATTAATGACTTTTGATACACGAAAAAACAGGTAGCAGTCTTCACTTTTACTTTGTACTTTACAAGTGGCCCTAGATGCACAATCTGCCCTCAGTAAATTATGACATCTTGTGTTTGATGTTACTGTCCAGCTGAAATTTGACGTGTTACATAGAGACACTCATCTTTCCCTCACTGACTGGGATATTAAGATCATGGACCATAAGAACAGGCAAAGGGTTATCTTTTCTATTTTGGGTAGTCCTTCTCCATCCAAGCCAGGGAGGTGTATAGCTTCATGTCACTGCTCTAGGAGGGTATTTCTGGGGTTCAGGAGGCCAGAATCTGCCAGGAAAAGCATGGTTACATTCATAAACTTTTCTCAAACCTGATGACACCTCTACTCTAGCTCATTATCTTCAACACCATTTCAGAAGTCTTGCACTCTAGGGACTGCAAGCACAGGCAGGGATGGGAAGAGCTCCTCATACCTTCTCTCTTATTTACACTGTGGAGCTGGCAAGTGCAACATGTTCTTCCCCCACAGTAAAAAAACTACAAGAAGATTTCGATAATGACTGGAAAGCTCAGGAAATTTTTCAGTGTAACACAAAATATTTAGACACTAATTATTAATAAATTCTTGCCCTCTTGCCTAATTTTGCTGGAATACGTTGTATGTTTTTATGATTCCCACATAGCTTTGTGGCTCAGCTATTTCAAGACTTCCTAACAGCAGTGACAGACATTTAAGTGACATGTGCCAACTGTGAGGAAGCACTCACCTTATAAAGCTCTGTTCATTTCAATGGCAGCACAACCGGGACTTTTATAAAGCAAAAAGCAAATCCAAACCAAGCCACTGAATTCAGGGTAATGGACCAAAGTTAACAATGTGGTATTGCAGCCAAGTATTAATAATAAGCTTCCTTCTCTTTCTAAAGAGTTTTTTCCATATTTCCTTGATTCACTTATAAGGAAAATATGTTAATAAAAAAGCCTGGAACTGCAGAGAACATAGGAGATAAGAGGTGTGTTGACAACTGTAGCCTGTGCAACAAAGGGAACATCTAAAACTAGCTCTTGCTTCCACCATTACAAGTTTTGATAGCGGATGCAGCACAGCAGTTTAGAAACAAATGGGTTTGAAATACACTTTCCTATGCCTTTTAACCTTCTCCCAGACAAAACCTCTGTACCGTATTTACAGTTTTCTGGCAGTATCTTATACTGAAATTAGGCCTGTACCTTTTGGGCCACATGGATGCTCTTTCTGCAGATGTCTGCTTCATGTCCAAAAGAAACTTAAAGGGATAAATTCCATGACCATGAGAAGTCAGAGCTGCTGGAATTTTATGGCCAAAACCAGATTTCTGCTGAATTACAGACAGCAGTGGTGTAAGTGCTGCTGTGGAAATGTGCCGGCTGATTTCCAGAGGCCTTGGGCTCAAGTTTTGAATGGCAAGCCTCCTGGAAAGGAAACAGACCTTTACTCCTTCCATATGGCAGTGCTGATAGCTGTGTCATTTCTTTTATCCTAGTTAAAATGTTAATGGTGTTAATTTTTCAGTGATGGGCTAAAAAAAGAACTCTTGCTCGGAGAACAGATTTTTTGCTTAATGTTGATAGGAGCCTCCTGTTTAATATCTGTTGGGAAAATATCAATCATATATGTTTGTCTAGAGAGCTTCACAATCTCTGTACATTCTTGGTCTGAACCACTGAAAGGATTATGTTGCTGAGATCTCTCTAAGAAATATTAAAGAACAGGCTGAGTCAGTAACAGAGTTTTAAATGAGTAATAGCTGAGGATGAGCCTGCCTTGGTCTGGCCTGTTTTACAATTCTTGAATCATTTTTGCCAAGAACTGACAAGAACAGAGGATAACTTCAGGACATCCAACTATCATGAAAACATTGCAAAAAATAAAGTGTAATCTTGGCCATCCGATATAAATGTTTGACCCCAGATGCTGTAAACAGTTCAGGTCCTATTTGGCTTTCATCACAAAAGTACTCCCACTGACTTCTATGCAGGTAATTTTAAATAATGTCTGACACAGGAGCAGGGCCTTTTATGCTAAATGAATTGTAAGGGGTTTTTTTAGAGCTTTAAAAAGCAGGTCATAGACAAAGTTAAGTACCTAATTTTAAACATTTTGGCCTTACTTGTAGAATTTTAAAACAATTTTCTTTTGGAGAAGTTTAATGAGTGTCACAAAAAACCCCTCTAGTGTGCTAGACTATTAAATCATAGTTTGGCCTGAACAGAAATTTTACATTATGATACCTAGCTTTAATTTTAGCAGCGTAGCTCGTGAAAATCAACCTGAGGAAGAAAATAGGAAAACAGGAAAAAATTTAAGTACTTATTGACAGATTTGCCTACTACCAGTTTCATTTAGCTGTGCTATCAACTCCATAGGAAAAAAAAGATTTTCAGATATATGCATATGACCTGATTTATCCTTTTATGCTGGTGTTCAAAATGTGCCTGTGTTTGGGAAACTTTCTGCTTTTTTCTGTATTTTCTGCATCTGTAAAGAAGATTGGTGGACTTGTCAGCGTTAGGTTTGCAGTTGGACTTGATAATCTTAAAGGTCTCTTCCAACCTAAATGATTCTGTGATGCTAAGCATCTTCCTTGGCTGACTGACAGCTCATTCCTGAAGCGAAGGGTTACGTGTTATGACACATTCACTTTGAGCCTTTGTGACAAGTGACAAACTAACCTACATTCCCTCTTTGCTCCAGCTAGGATCTGCCTTTTTGCCCTGGAGTTAGAATGACCTGGATCCTCCTTCCATGAGATTATTACATACCCATGTAATAAAACCTTCTTTGTTGTAACACAGCTTTCCAAGGGAAAGGATGAAAGCTTTGGTGCTTAACACACTTAAGAACAAGCTGAACAAAACACCAGAAATTCTAAATTAAAATGATACATCTGCATTTCAAATTGCAATGATAGAGAAAGTAAGTTGCTTCTCTTTAAATCAAAGTTCTTAAAATTGCTTGCCTTCTGCAGTGCTCTGAAACCAGAGTTTTAAGAGAATGAGCTTATGCAGGCTTGTATTTCACAAGGGTTGTTCCTCCTCTCTGAGGAGGGAAGGAATCATTAAGAATTTACTTCAACCACAGAGTGCAGAGTATTGTTCTTCTCAGTTAAGTCTTGGAAGACCCAGTGTTGAAGAACCACCTACAGAGCAGCTGACAAAGAACTGGGAGCTTACTGGGTATTGATTAGAATGCCATTTTTACTTGCTACCTAACCTTAGTCAAACCGAATGAATTATTTTCTCCTTTTTAGGAAATCTGATGTCTGATTTATATTTGCCTTTAACTAAAGGGTGGACAACACAAATAATCATAAGGTGACACACCTTCATTACTCAGATAAGGCTGCCTCCTTCAGATTCAGGAGTAACTATTCGTTCTCTCACATTGCTGGTTGTATTGGCAGGTGAGAAATAACTCCCACTTAACTTTGCTCAGAGGTCTTCCAAAGGAGTATCACTATTTTGCATTCACTGAGAGGCTTTGCAGTTCTTTCCAGAACAATACTGGACTGGACAACATATGCATATGGAGTAATTCTGTACCACCAAGAGAACTGGTCTGGGACTTACGCTGTCCATGCCACGTCTTTAACAAGGCACGCAGTGGGCACGAGAAACAAGCCAAACCAGAAGTATCCACATCTTAAGACCATTCCAGCCTGTGAATAAAAACAAATAATCATGAGTAATTTCAAGTCACTACATGTTAAGTAGTTCTTTACAAGGAAAAGATAAGAGTGATGGCATCAAACAGGTACTGCATCCATGACAGAAGCGACGTTGACATTTGGTGGTGGTGGTGGTGAAGTTTCTTAACAGAAATTAGGCCTATAATTCACAGCCAGCAACGACATTTCTCATTGCAATCGTTCATTGATCTCAAATTCCTTAGAAATTTTTTAAAAAATAAAGTGTTTTGACCAACTCTTCCACTGATATTAATTTGTGGATCAGAGCAGACATATTTTCACTTGGCACCATAAGCATATTTAACTTGCACTATGGACTAACTTCTGTGCCCTCTGCCCACTTTCTACCCACTGTTCTAGATCTGAGCAGTGTCAAACTGATGTGAAAAAAAAAAAAATCTCACTAAAATGTTTCAGTCATATTCCACTCAAATACAGCACTGCCTGGTCAAACTACTGCTGCTTGAAACCCACGGTGGGAAAGATTCACTCCTGTCCCATAAATGGCTTTTTCTACAAACAAAGAACACAAAGTTTATATTTGCGTTTTTCTCATTGCTGTAATGCTTGAAGAAAAAGCTCAGTAGGATTTGAGAAGGAAGATATCTAGAAACTCTGCAAGTCCCAGCATACACCCATAGTTATGGAAGAAATTTGACATACAGCACTATTTACAGAAAAGCTATTTTAAATCATCAGTCTTCTACAGATAAATTAAGGGTAAGCCCTGGGTTTGCTACACGGAAGACTCGACACAACCTCACCACGTCTTGCATACACACATACACACTTCCCAGAAGAATAATTTAAGTTCTGTAGTACATTATAAACACATAATATTTTTCTTTTTCTGTAATGACTAATGTGCAGCACACAACTAAACAGGGGCTGAAAGGTGTCAACAGTATGTCCAGTGGCTAGCCACATTGTGCTCTCTCGCCAGTTATGGATGCTGCCACATCCCTTCCCCAAAAGCTTTACTCCTCAAAATTTTGTATGCCACATACAATACACATACACGTATCTGTCAGTGCTGACATGTGATACTGCAAGTCAGGGAGGCCTATATCCATGGACACTGAACTAAAGCAGCTGCCTCCCCAGTGTAACATAGACTTGGCTGGCTCAGCTAGCTCTCACTGTTGTAGCACACAAGAGAACAGCAGCCTGCAGCGCTGAAGCGTCAGGGTACTTTACAGAAAAACACAAAGATGAGCTACAGAACATGGAACCAAATAAAACTTCTACTAGCCTTTCAAATACATTGTGAGAAGGCAAAATTTGTAATTATACCCTTTGTAAGAAAAACACGATTGATCACAACAGAAGCAGCTTCCACTACTCACTACAGCAAAGCTTTAAAACTGAGAAAAGCCATCACACTGCATTGCTAGGACATCCACCAGTAGCACCCAGCATCCTCTCCTGGTGCTGATCTCTGTTTAAAGTTGTCCACCTCACAACTCTGTCATATTTAGCAGCAACTTGCCCTTGCATTGCCAAGTAGTGAGTACTTCCAAAAGCATTTTTCACTTTTGAATGTTAAACCCTTTGTGCTCTTTCTGGACTGACAGATCAGTGGTAAATCTTGTACTGAAGGCAAGAGCAAGCTAGACTGTGCTAAAACATTTATGGACACTTTGCCACCCACACAGACAGTAAGCAAACACATTCCAGTCCCAGGAACAGCTCTCAGTTATTTGTGAGCCCTCATGCCTCCTTTCACATGAGAGTGCCAGAAGCACACGGGCAGTATTGATCTATGCTTATTTAAGGAAAAGGATGTGCAGGAATAAGAGGGAAATCATAACTTCATTGTTAGCCAAAGAGCTGAACTGTAATAACACAGTGGCAAAACATAATGAGATTTATCCTCATGCCTTGCTTTGCTTTAGCTATGATCCTGTAAATGCTAGCAGTCTGATCACATCAGCGTTTCCACTGACCATCCTTCCATTGCCCATGCTAATAAAGGCTAAAAAAGGGCCACAGTATTCTATATGCATTTTCTGCTATTTGTGCTTCAAGTACTTTACGTTCCACTTCTTGGTTTTCTAGCTGAAAGCAACTCAACATGCTTTTAAAGTGCAAAACAATGTGAGTATGTGTTCAGCAGAAGTTTAAATGTTATTGTTATTATAAATGTTGACTTCTCAATGGCTACAAATTTGGACATCTCACATGTTAAGCTTGACACCAAAAAACCCTCAAGCCAAATACTTTTTGCCTGCAATTATACATTTTGCTGAAGAAGTATTCTGTCCAAAAACTGTGCTGTAACAGTCAGACTATTCATCTCATCTGAACCCTGTCAGACAGTCTATTACTGGCAAATGTTTTACCACACAACCCTCTCCAAGATTTTACTCCATTCCTGTGCTCATCTAAAAGGTTTCTTCTCTGCTCATCTCTAGTTTCCTGTTGGAGTTACATGACTTTTATATTGTGTGACATTGAACTGGTTTGTCTTGCATGCACAGCTCTGCCTCTGATCTCTGCCTCCTCTCTGGCAGGGTTACACCATCTGCTCACAGGACAGGAGCTCCTCAGCAGAGGACTCGCTAGAAACTACCTAACACATTCTGCGCACGTCCAGAAAGAACATTTTTAGGATATTATGAACAGAAGCTATAGTAAGAACACCTATATATCGCAACAAAGCCTTTGTCAGGCTTCACAGCTGCTGCTGTGCTCTATTCCAGTTGTCCAGCTATTCATTACATCAGTGAAGACAGTACTGCAATACATCTTCAGTGAAACACAGTATTTCCATACCCAGTCCCAATGAATAACACCCTTCAGCTATCAGTTATCTCCCCTAGAGAAGAAAAGCAGAGCTACTAAGCAGGAATCACCACCATTTTTTTCCTTTTTAAGGTCACAGGGAAGAGGATTAGAAATAGTTTGTTTTTTAAACAAATTCAAAATTTGACCAGCTCTGTCATCACAAAGGCCCCTTGATATCCAACTAAGTAATTTTTGTTCTGTCTACTGATGTAAACATTAGTGACTAGCACATCCAAAGCCAACTATCAGAAACCATTCATCATATGGCACCCCAAAACCACTTGAGACTAATGCAAGTACTTCTGCTGAAGACATTGCAGCTTAAACTGCTGCCATCAGTAGACTGCCTTCCAAGCACTGACAAGGCTGCCACAGTAAAATCTCTCATTTAGATTAGTGAGAACGTTTATTAAAATGAAAGAATAGGAACAAGAAAGAAAAAGCTAAGCTTCATTTATTTCAGCTGAGGAGCAAACAATTTAGGTCCCAATACCTTTAACCTCTTGTAAACTGGTTTTGTAAGGGTGCACACTTTCTTTTTTTCTTTTAAACACATCAAAAAAAGCAACAGTACTGGCCAGTCAGAATGAGCAGGAAGAAAGACTAGATTAAAGTTCTGTTTTGTTTTTCTGCTTTGTTTGCTTGTTTTAAATCAAGGACATGCTCTACACAAGCCTATTGAACAGGCAATAGGTTGGTTTTTTTTTTTAAAAATAATCTTAAATTGCAACATGGAATAAATTTCAAACTATCTTCTCCATTTTGCTATTCTTTCTTAGTATGTAAATAAGCATCATTCATAGGTTTCCTTTTCCACTGTGGTGTGTTGACCCTGGCCAGGTACCCACCAAAGACACTCACTCTATCATTCCTCTCCTCAGCTGAACAAGGGAGAGAAAATATAATGAAAGGCTCATGGGTTGAGATATGGATGGGGGATATCACTCAGCAATTACCGTCCCAGACAAAACAGATTTGACTTGGGGAAATTAGTTTAATTTATTACTAATCAAACCAGAGTAGGATAATGAGAAATAAAACTGTATCTTAAAAACACTTTCCCCCCAAACCCTTCTCCAGGCTTAATTTTACTCCCAATTCCTCTGTCTCCTCTCCACCATAGTGGTGCAGTGGGTCAGGGAATAGGGGTTACAGTCAGTTCATCACATGTCATTTTTGTCGCTCCTTCTTACTCAGGGTGAAGACTCCTCACACTCCTACCCTGATCCAGCACTGGATCCCTCCCATGGGAGACAGTCCTCCACGAACTTCTTCAACACAAGTCCTTTGCATGGGCTGCAGTTCTTCACAAACTGCTCCAGCGTGGGTCCCCCACAAGGTCACAAGTCCTGCCAGCAAACCTGCTCCAGAGTTGGCTCCTCTCTCCACAGGTGCTGCCTGGAGCCTGCTCCAGCACAGGCTTCCCACAGGGTCACATTCTCCTTTGGGCATCCACCTCCTCCGGTGTGGGGTCTTCCATGGGCTGCATGTGGAGATCTGCTCCATCATGGACCCCCATGGGCTGCAGGGCACAGCTGCCTCACCATGGTCTTCACCATGGGCTGCAGGGGAATCTGCTCCAGTGCCTGGAGCACCTCCTACCCCTCCTTCACTGACCCTGGTGTCTGCAGAGTTGTTTCTCTCACATATTCGCACTCCTCTTTCTAGATGCAATTGCACAAGTTTTTTTTCACCCCCTTCTTAAATGTTAACCCAGAGGTGCTACCACTGTTGCTGATGGGCTCAGCCTAGTCCAGCAGCAGGTCCAACTTGGAGCTGGCTGGCATTGGCTCTGTTGGACACAGGGGAAGCTTCTGGCAGCTCCTCACAGAAACCACCCCTGCAGACCCCCATCCACTACCAAAACATCCACCAATAGGTGGTGACACTATTTTCAACAACTTCCAGGGAGAACAAGATGACCAGAAGTGCCCAGGGATGGGAAGTCAGATATCCCGACTGCTTTGGTATTCTTATCACATCATGGTTAGACAACAACTGGGAACCAGTAAATGATTCAGACAAAGCAAAAAGGTTCTCAATTATCTTACACTGTTCAAGATAAGTGAGACAAAATTTAAAATTAATAATTGGAGTAATAAAAGCTTTTTATTGCTTCATTTCCTCATATACCCATTCATCCTAACTGATAAAAATGGACAGGAAAAGCATAAGATCACAAT